TGGAAAACCCAATTTATATTAGGGAAACCACCTAATTGTCCACAGTAGAGTTCCATACTCTACTGAGTACTATCACATGTTCAGAATCTTGAATATCTCAGTTCTTGTTCATGTCCAATTCGTTAAACGGATTACAGTATTATAAGTATAAACTTAAACGTATATACGTATATAATATACGTTAAACTATTAGGAACCCGCTATTTTTACATAGCACCCCCACCCCCCCCCCCCCTAGAATTTTATGAGTCTCTCGGATTCGCCCCGATGAAACATACCATAGTTTCTAAAAGAGCGACAATGAAACACTAAATAAAATCCCTTCAGCGGAAACAGTACTGAGAGGATTATATATAGGCAATGTCTCAGCATTACAATCCCTCAGAGTGTTGCTGTTTCCACGAGGCATACCTAACTTTACTAAAAGTCTCATTTCGTTTATTTACTTTGTTATTTACACGAGACTTAAAATTTACCTACGCGTTTATTTATTCTAAGGCATTAGTATCGCCTTTATCAGACCGAATCTTACATAGTCTGGTCCTGCTACCCACACCTGACGGTGCTGTCACAGGTGTCCGATCCACCCCAACGACTGACGACGATACTGACAATACCGTCATACCTCATAACCATGGACACGTCGGGATCTGCCTTGTTTTGACTTAAAAAACCCCCATTCTTTTTTTCAAACGCAAAAAATGCCATATATTTTTACCAAACTGGAAACTACCGTATTTATATGCAGACTTTCTTGAAAACTGTTTCAAAAAAAAAAATGCTTCAAAAAAATATTTCAAATTCTGAGCCCCAGAAACTCGATCAGGGACTGGGATCAAAATTTAACTTCAAAAAATATTTTCAAATTCTGAGCCCCAGAAACTCGACCAGAGGCTGGGATCAAAATTTGACTTCAAAAAAGTTGCTTCAATAATTTCAAATTCTGAGCCCCGGAAACTTGACCAGAGACGACCTGGCCTGAACCGTGGTTACTGTAATACGATAACCATATTGCGATAATCGTAACCGTGGTGACCGTAAAGACCCTCTGCCGATTTGTGGCAGACCCTGGTCTGGGGCAGTGCGGTCTCGTACCAGCGGTGAAATGGCATATATACACACACAAACAAGTGGTCCTTTCCAAAATTTTATTATAAATATCATGACGTATCTGAGATGCGTCGGCGTTTAGATGCTTCCATTTTTGGAAGAGTCGTCTGGCGTTTCGAAAGTTTGGATTCGAAGAATGAGGCGTCGCGACGCGCATCTGTTATTTATATCGCACCGTCCTGTGTGTAAACATTCATTCATGTCCTGGTCAAATGTTCTCCACGGTGGTGGGACGGCTACAACTGTATCGGAAAAGTCCAGCACGGCCACAAAACCATGGTCTCGGATATGCTGCACACGGGATCGGTCGTAGTACAATACACGGCGTACGTCTTGTCAACGTCAAAGATCTGCTTGACTAACCAGTTCATCACAGCCGCTGTGTATCGTACTCGCAGACCAAAAGGGACGTGCCCCCATTCGTAAGTGTCAGGATTGACACGGATATGGACACTGTCCTGAATTTTCGTTGAGATGAAGACCATACAAGACACATGGTCGGAGAGAGTCTCATTTTTATGTTGATGCTCATCAGTTTCGTGAATGAGTGTATTGTTGTAGATGCTGTCCGCGCGATATCCACCCACAGACACTTCGTAGTCGACCCCAAACGTCAAGCACAAATTGAGCCCTTGGTTGAGTGCTATTTGCTTTCGACGAAACTTGATCAAGTCGCGGTGGCGTTTACACAATTCACCCTTGGGTGCAGGCTTGCCACACGGACATGTTGAGTCAGGATGGACATCGCGAACATGCGTTGTGAGTGCACTTGTGATTGAAAACGCTTTTCCACACGGTCACTTGTATGGGAGTGTATGTGTGCGTATATGGACTTTGAGAGCACTGGATCTCGCCGTAGTGTAGTTGCAGTTCTCAATTGTACATTTGTAAGGTTTGTCACCAATGTGTGTGCGTATATGGACTTTGAGAGCACTGGACTGCGTAGAAACATAGTCGCAGTTCACTTGGCCTCCGTGGCTTGCGTCTTCTCATGCAACTTGTTGTCCACGATGATACCTTGTAGCTAACAGAGCCGGTGAGACTGACCAGAGCAATCATGCTGTCGCCACAGTGCCACACGCAACAATCAGGGCGAGGTTGCGGTGGCGCTTGGACAAAAGTCTGCATACACGACACAGGGATCCGAGGGCATTGCAATCGGGGCCAGCGCCGCCTACACCAGGGACGTGAGGCCGGAAAGACAAAGCAGTCTACCAACGGAATTGCCCTTGGACGGCGCGAAACGCTTGGTTTACCACTTTTGTTTGAGGGGTGGCTGGTGCAGAGAGAAAGCAGGGAGCTGAAGGTTGGAGAGTGTACTTCGTCAGACGACCCAAATGGGGTGCGACTTCGGTACACGGACTATGTTCGACACGCGACAACCGTAGAGTACGAGGGTGTGGGCAAGGAAAAATGAAAAGTATATAAGTCAATGATTTGCGATGAAAAACATCACTCTGCAAACAAACTCTCAATATGCCAACTTGTAAGTTTTGCCCCTACTCCTGTACTGGAAGCCTTGTCCGCCACATCGAGTCGATGCACTCGAACGTTTGTTCCTTTTGCACCTTTTCCTGTACTGGAAGCCTTGTCCGTCACATCAAGTCGATACACCCCGAGACCGAGGAGGCGGTTACGCCCATCGCCACCCGGGTCACTTAAGCTGGTGCCGACTGGCTGTCTAGTGTTTTCCCCGACGGCGGTGAAGAAGAGTAAAATTCGAAAGGGATTTGGAATCTACACGTGCAAGCCGTGCAAAACGGCCTGGTTGTCGGCACATGCGTTCCCCAAGTTTCATCAGCAGTGCAAGACGTGCTTGATTAACCGCAAGCCGTATGCCATGTTTGAGTGCAGCGGCCGGGACGATAAGGACGACGTGAAGAAGGAGATAAAGCCCCGCATGTGTGGATTGTGCGAGGTTTGTAGCTCCGAAGGCTGCGACGAATGCCACCCCGCCAAAAAAATAACCGCGATTATCGTTTCGCAGTAACCCCTTATTGAATTAAAACTTAACTCGCAGCATTACAAGCACAGCTCCTTGAACCTGCCCTGTTAGCTCCGGCGCGCGATTGGGTTAGAAAGGCCTAGTTTTTCGACATTAAATCATTTTTATTCTATTTTTTATTTGTGTCTACGACCGAATCTTCGGGAAAATCGTGGTTGTTACTCCCAGCGCTGCCAAATTGTTCATCAGCAGCTTAAACACATACAGGATCACCACCCACACAGTCTCGCGAGCCGGGGCCAGCATGGAAAGCTCAATGAGCTGCGCTTGTGACGATGCGAGTTTCTGACTCAGGTCTAAGCGTACATCCTCCGCAGCCTTATGTGCTTCCTCTGCAGCCTTACGTGCTTCTTCTGAAGCACGTAGGGTCGAACGCAGACTTTCGTTTTCACGCGCAGTCATATCAGCCAACTGACTGGCGTACTTGGCCTCTGTGGCTCGCGTCTTCTCATACAACTTATTGTCCGCAATGATACCTTCTTTAACTCTTTCCAACTCGGCCGCCAGCCGCTGCTCCTCTGCGAGTCCACCAGCCGAGACCTGGCGACAAGTATGGACAACCTCGCCAAGCAGGGACTTTGCCATTGCGGCAGGTACGGAGAAAATTTCACGATGCTTGTTCATCGGAAATCTTGTCGCTGCCGAGCGACTACTGATCAGTGAAGAGACTGCCCGCTCCGCTGTACTGGTCAGGTGCGACGCAATGTACACGGCATATTTGAGATCAGCATCCTTAAATGAGACACTATGCTCGCCCATTCGACGGTGGATGTTGTCGGACTTGCCATATTTGTAGACATCGTCGTCATTAGAGCAGCTCGCTGGCAGTGTCGCGCAGAGGTGCTTGAGGTCTCGGACCTTACCAATGTATATCATGTAGATACCACTATCAATCATTGAGATACCTCTGGACCCCAATGTCACCTGAAGCACGGGCTTTACGAGATCCTGGATCTTCGCAACGTCACTTGTGAAGTAGGCAGCGACAATTTTCATTATCCACTGTATGTATGTGGTTTGACGTCCACGTTTAGAGGACATGATATACATCATGAGCCCCGTAGTGTCGAGGTAAACAAAACAGGTGTTGTTGATTTTGATTTTCACCCGGTATTCATTCGGAATAGAATTGTAGACGGTCTGTGTATTCGCAACACCAACCAAGTTTGCCACCCCCTTGGCACTAAAGAATGTATCTGCCACTGTTCGATCTCCAACGACGTGGATTGAAGAAAGCCCTATGTCACCATTGGTCTCGGTATCGATCTGTACTGGACAGTTCTCGACGATGCGCCACGATTTATCAGTAGTAGGGGGCTCCATTGTTGTTGACATGTAAAACAATAAGGCATTCTGTAACCCCGAACGCTTTTCGATTTTTTCTTTTTGTAACTCACCGCGAAACAATAAACCCCTTACTGCAAATCAATAACCACATTACTGCAAACCAATACCCACCTTACTGCAAATCAATAACCACCTTACTGTAAAATCGTATACACGCGCTCGTCGGAATTGCACCCAATGTACAGCTTGGTTTCGTACGCGGACTCGGAACCCCGGGTTTTCATAAACGAGTCGTAGAAAATACCAATGATCGTGTCCGCTCGGAAACTGTCGTTCAAAACCCGCTCGTCATCCCCGACCCCAACACTCACCGCGGCCTGCAGCGGGCCCCGGTGGGCCTTGACAATACCAAACAGCGTGTCGATCTGCTCCGCGGTGGGAAAGTTCACACCCGGCTTCATGGTAATTCCCGACACGTGGAACTCGCTCCAGAACCCAAACCCCAGCTGCAGCAGACAGCACCTGTTTTCGTCGCGCAAATGCGCAGTCAGTTTTTCAAACAGTTCCGACGCCATTTCCATCATGTTGGGGTCGCTCCAGTCGTTTGTGCCCTTTTCACCCTATGTTGTCGCCCACGAGGGCGTCTTGTTCCGGTTCGGACCGTCCACAAAGTACAGGCGCACAATTGCACTCACACCCGGCTTCAGACTTTCAAAGTCCTTGTCGAGCTTATCAAACGTCACATCAGTTCCGTTGTAGCAGTTCTCGGCGTACAGGCGAATGTTGTGCAGCAATCTCGGTCACCGTACGATTCTGCACCGCCACCGAATTCCATGGCCCTGAACTTGGCGGCACAAAGTCGTCGAAATCGTCTACGATAGGATCATTGTCAGAGTAGCCGCCCTTACCTTGTGGCACGTGCATGTCTACAGTGTTACTGCTAGTCAACAATACTACTGCAATGATTATCCCAATTATCCCAACAGTGAGCAATACAAAAAGTAAAACTATGACCCAGATCATTTCTATTCTATTCAAAATGTTTAACACTTTTTTTTTTTGGAAATCGACTTTTATTCAACGAAAGGCCTCGATCTTGCTCCTCTGCTAGCTAGCTGTCTAGAACAGGGCCATGGCGGCCATCACAAGCGCCAACGAAATTGCACCGAGCACCGTGTTTGCCTGGGCGACTTCTGCGCCCGACGAAAAGTACGAGGCTAAAAGGTCCGATGACGACGATCCGCTGCTTCCGTAGTTGCCGCCGATGCATGCGACCTTGGCTGACGGCACAATCACAAACCCGTGGCCGCACTGGTTGTTGAGGACGTCCAGCGGTGTGCACGAACTACACGACGATGTGGAGCACGCGCTCACCGACGGGACACCGGAGCTCGAGCACTGCGTGTTGAAAAAGAAGCCCTGGCCGTTGTAGTAAACCTCGGTACTTTCCATGGTGATCTGCGGTGTAGATGCGCACACGTTACTGGTCGTCCAGAATTCTCCACGGACCATATGATGGGCGGTGGCGGTGGCGGTCAAGGCGAGGAGAGCAAGTTTTCCGAACATCATCCTGTTGATTGAGTTTGAGTTTGTAGATTAGTTTGGTTTTAGTTTTTGTTTGTGTAAGAGTGATGATAATCGAGCTGGTGTGCTTGTTTTTATACCCATTTTTCCCATATACATTTTTTCTCGATAAGTAGAAAATGTCCTCTCACACGACTTTCAAGCGCTGGGTGGCAAAAAGCGTTCAGGGCAAAGATGCCCAGCAATACTACAGCCCATGGCTCGGCCTCTACTATATTGGTGGGATATTCTTGGACGACAACGAGGTGCGAAACGGTTTTAGTCACCACCCAGACCTGGGTATTCTGCGTGTGACCACGAAGCCATCGGCGTGCAAGAACCTACCACTGGCGGCCAATACACCGGCGACGGCAACCATGTCGTTACCCTGATGGTGGGCTCACGATGCGATTTACGACGCCGTACACGGGCGATGGGGATTTTGTGACATATAACGGCAAAGGCTGACCCACTGAGTCACAAATCGGCCTGCCCGAATCGGGAAAGTGAAGCGTAGGGTGTTGGTGTAGGCCTCATCGAGGGGGGGGGTTCTTTTTTTTTGGCAAAAAGTGTGGTAAAAATCAGTCTGCCTGACAAAGTTACGGGCTTTATAAAAAAAGTATTTTTCGATTCAACATACAAAAAAGGTATTTCCGATTTGGCATGAAAAAAAGGCAAAAAACGGTTTGGCATAAAAATAAATGGTAAATATGGCATTAAAAAAAAAAGAGAGTATTTGGTTGTTCAGTTCGCAATTGGCATTTAGTCCTCTCAAAAATAGGACAAATATTATTATTAGCTGCCCTGAAAAAAGCACCTGCTACATAAATACTAATCGGTTATAAAAATTATACTTTAAAACCTAAAACTACCTATATAATAAAAGTTTTAACGTAAAACCTATTGAGGAGAATAGTTAAGACTGCAACGCTTGTCTGCAAGACTGAACTGAGCTTAGGTTCAAGAAGGTCGTATTTGCGGAAATCGGTTTAAAATTTAGATTTGTATATTGTCCGAACTATGTACTGTCTGCCAGTTGTTCGTCTTCAGTTTAGTTGTTTACACTTTATCGTGATGATATATTTTGCTCCTGGAACTGATCTATGGTTCTTATTGGACCTTAATTTTCTAGAAGGGAACCACTATAATAAATAAATATATCATATTCATGTATATATA